TCAGCAGGAGCTGCTAGAAGGCTGAGCCCGTGATGGCGTTGAGTTGCTTCATGAGTCCCTCCAAACTGGCCATCTGTTCACTCAGGTCATCCTGCTCATAAACCTGCCAGGGAACCAATGCACACACAGATCAGCAGGCAGTGGGACAGGGACCAACCCCCACCCCCCCACACACACCTCTCAAGAGCCTAGTACATGGTACGTGGCAGGGACCTCCAAGGGCACCTTCCTGTGTGGTGTTTCCATCCCTGGGAACATTCCAGACCAGGCTGGATGGGGTTCTGAACAACCCAATCTAGGAGAAGATGTCCCACTGCAGGGGCCTTGGACTAGGTGGTCTTGAAAGGTCCCTTCCAAGCCAAAGCATTCTGTGATTCTGTGATCTGGGATGTTCAAGGATGGGCTGACACAGGCTGGATGGCAAAGCCTCTTGGGGTTCAACACATGAGCTGAAAACTAAAGGTGACCATGCTAGAACCCTTCTCTGAGTTCCCCTCTCATAGAATCACAGACTGGTTTGGGTTGGAAAGGACCTTCAAGATCATCTAGTTCCACCCCCCTGCATGGGCAGGGACCCCTCCCACCAGCCCAGGCTGCTCCAAGCCCCATCCAACCTGCCCTTCAACACTGCCAGGGATGGGGCAGCCACAGCTTCTCTGGGCAACCTGGGCCAGGCTCTCCCCACCCTCACACCAAAGAATTCCCTCCTCATGTCTCACCTCAATCTCCCCTCTTCCAGTTTTAATCCATCCCCCTCATCCCATCCCTCCCTGCCCTTGTCCCAAGCCCCTCCCCAGCTTTCCTGGAGCCCCTTCAGGCACTGGAAGCTGCTCTCAGGTCTCCCTGGAGCCTTCTCTTCTCCAGGCTGAACACCCCAACTCTCCCAGCCTGGCTCCAGAGCAGAGCTGCTCCAGCCCTCCCAGCATCTCTGGGGCCTCCTCTGGCCTCTCTCCAACAGCTCCATGTCTTTCTTCTTCTGGGGACTCCAGCCCTGGCCCCAGCCCTGCATGGGGGTCTCAGCAGAGCAGAGGGGACAATCCCCTCCTTCAACCTGCTGCTCCCCAGGCGATGGTTTCACTCCCATTCCAAGAGCTCTCAGCTCTTGGCTAAGGAGGGACACACCATGAGCTACAAATGAAAGTGTCAACTGGGGATTAGAGAACAGAACTCGGGTGGGTGAGGGGCCCTGCCCAGAAAGTTGCCTCAGGGAGAAGGTTCTTACGTTGGCAGAGTCCTCTGTCTGCTTGTGGCCTTCTTCTGCAGCCTCTGGGGCAGTGGGCACGGAGACGGGCAGCAGGGGGGACCTGGCCTTGCCTGCCAAGCCAAGGGATGCTGTTTTAACCTGAGCCTTGGGGAGGCTGGGCCCTGGAAGAAGAAGGAGAAGGCAGGTTGAGAAGCTGGAGACATGGAATCCCAGGGAAATGGGGGGGGTTCTAGGCAGGTTGCAGCTGGTTTGAGCATGGCTGCCTGTGCCAGCAGCTGGACACCTGCAGGTCCCTTCCAAGCCAGGACCTGCTGCTCCCTGGGCAGGCTCCAGGACCAACACAAACACTTCCTAAAACCTCTTCCATTCTATTTCATGGGTTCTGCTCCTGCAAGACTCTCAGTCCCAGCAGCTTTGCCATTTTCTGCTACCACGACTTGGTGATGAAGCATGTTCTTTTGTAACCAACAACAGTTTTCCCACAGGCACCTGCATTTCCCTGGGAAAAACACCTACAACCTGGGTAGCCTGGGAAGATAAAGAAGACCTGAACTCCATGGGCCCTGCCTGGCAGGGAACTGTTGGTTTGAAGTTAAAGGTCCATCAGCTGAAATGTCTCAGCCCTTTTAATGATTTAAAACATCAAAGAAGAACACTTTTGTCCTGGACAAAACCTGGACAGTTGGTCTCCACTCAGCAGAAGATGCCTGGATCTCTGCAGGACTCTGCTGGAGACACCTGGGCTGGCAGTTGGGAGAGAGGAACACAGGACAGTGATTTGAAGTCCACTGGGATGGATTTCAAATGGAAGTGGCCACACAAAGGCAAACTGGGACCCTGCAGCTCATGCATCACAGATTCAAGGCCAAAAATGGGGGGGGGGGGGGGGGATGGCAACTTCAAGCTTTCCTGCTGCCAACATAATCCTGCTCCCCCTGAAGGGCTCAGACACCCTCACAACCTGCCCAAGGCCAAACTCTGAGTGTCTTGGGCACTTCTTTCAGCCACCTAGGTCCCCCAAATTGATTCTTCCCACTTCCTCAGCATTAAACCCCTTAGATGCCTGCTTGTGCCCTAAGGCAAGTTTCATCTTCCTATCTACAAACAGGCTGGTACTTGCAGGGTGCACCACATCCCAGGGACTGCCAGATCCCCCATCCATCCCCACCAGTGAAGACCAGTTGCCCTCTGATGTCTTTGGAATCTCCCAGGGTAGGTTTCCATCCCCCAGGAGGCTTGGGCACACTTGTTATTCTGCTCACTTGGCTCTGGTTGAAATCAAGAAGATGAATCATACATTAATGGCTGATTTTTTTGATATAATTCCTCCACTATGACCTTCAACAAGTTCTCTGCCTTTTGATCTATCAAGGAAATGTGTGTTACACTAATGACAGTGACAACAGCCATGGCTGCTTGTGCTCATGAGGGGTATGAAAGGACAGCAGCCTCAGAAAACCAAGCAGGTGATTGCATCAGAATTGGACCAGAAAGAGGTTCTTAGAATCACAGAACCATGGAATGGTTTGGGTTGGAAGAGACCTTAAGGTTCCTTTAGTTCTAACCCCCCTGCATGGGCAGGGACACCTCCCACCAGCCCAGGTTGCTCCAAGCCCCATCCAACCTGCCCTTCAACACTGCCAGGGATGGGGCAGCCACAGCTTCTCTGGGCAACCTGGGCCAGGCTCTCACCACCCTCACAGTGAAGAATTTGCCATACTCTGTGCACAGAGGGAGGGGTGTCCCAGGGAAGGGGCACAGGACAAGTTTCTGGAGCTGGGATGCAGGGACCAGGAGTGTTGGAGATGCCTCCATCCCCGTGGGACACACACGGGGCCAAACATCCAGGTCTGAGATCAGAAAGCCAACCAGTTCCTGTGCAAAAACACACCACTTTGTAATGAATCTGAAGTGCAAACACCTATTTATTTGTTTTCCTCACCACTGGATTCCCACCTGATTCCTCCTCTTTTCTTCTGGATCATTAACATGCCCTGCAAGCAACACTCCCAGAGCAGCCCTGCCTGGAGAAGGACCCCAACACTGGGAAGCAGCTGGAGCTCCCCAAATCCCACCCAATCTGACAGCTCTCTGTATCCTCACAGCTCCAGCCCAGGAGGCAAGACTCACAGATTCATTTCCTGGCATTTCCAAGAATTGACTTTCCCTTTTTAATGAGCTGAAGGCTGAGAAAACACGACGGAGGAGAAGAGAGAGCAAAGTCCCTCCTGAAATCCAGTGGCCAACAGCTCCTTCATCAACATTCTAGCAAAGAGCTGCAAGAGGGAGGCAGAGAGGGAGAGACACCCCCCTCTTCTGTAGGGCTGAGAGTGGCAGGGAAGTCCTCAAGCCATCAACATCTGCAGCTCCCCACAAGCTGGAAGAGATGGCTGTGAAGTCACCCTCCCTGTTCCAGCTCCAGTCTAATGGCTAAAGGACTTCTTAAATCATTGGGCCTCCTGGGTCTCAGGGTACAAGCAGAAGACACAGAGATTCAGTCCTCATACCAGAAGAACTGGTGTAAGACCTGAGGAGAGAGCAAGCAGGGCAGAAGGAGCTGAGCTGGAGAGGTGGTGGCAGTGCCCGGGTGAAGTTGGTGAGGAAGAAGGGGAAGGAGGTGCCCGAGGAGAAGTTCCCCTGCAGCCCATGGAAGAACATGGTGGAACATCCCCTGAAGGCTCCAGGAGAGGCAGAGGTGGAACTGCAGCCTGTGGACTTGGAGCTGCAGCCCTGGGGACCCCTTGGCAGGGGCAGTGATTGTTCCCAGAGCAGCCGTGACCGTGGGAGCTGGAGCTGCTCCTGAGGGACTCGTGGAGGAAGGTCCTGGAGGAGACTCTGCCATGGGGAAAGCAGGGCAGGACTGCCAGGAATCCTTCCTGAGGAGGAAGGAGCAGCAGGAACCAGCAGCTTGTGAACTGACTCTAAACCCCATCCCCCTATGGGCAGGGAGGGACAGAAATGGGGAACCAAGTGATTTGGGCCCAGGAGAAGGGAGGGGTGGGGGTAACACACGTGAGCCCTGCTCTGGGTGTTGTCCTGGGTGTGTTTGATGAGAATTGAATTAGGATTGTCCCCAAGTTGGGTCTGCTTTGCCTGTGACCACAAATGGTGAGAGACTCCTCCTGGGACTTCTTTTTTTTGGACCCAGGAGCTTCTGGTTGGGTTTGTCCTCCCCACACTGGGAGGGGGGAGCAGAGGGAGCTGGTTCTTTGTTGTCATCTTAGGCCCAAAAGGAGACAATCAGAGCTTGCAAAACTGAAAGACATCAGAAATGATGGAAGAATTTTGTCTCCTGACAGCCTGAAGGTCCAAGGTTGGAAGGGGTGCTGGGGAGCAATGCAAAGCCAGATGGTTTCCCTGTGAAACCATCAGAGCTGGTGGGGTTTGCTCCTTATTTCCCAGTATGAAGAGGTCATTTTCTCTTCCAACTCCAAGAGAAAGTCACAAAAGGATCAAAGGTCACTTCCATGTTACTTGGCAGTTCCATCAGTCAAATAGTGTCAGCTTAAATGACTTGGAAGTTGAAATAGGAAGATGAGAATAAGACACAGGGGTGAGATGACTGGATGCTCCTGTTTAAGGAAGAAGGTGCCTCAGGGAAACAGAACATGCAACTACACAAAACATATTCTTGGAAGGTTCAGCTGAGTTAGATAACAGGGAAAAAAAAACCCCAAACCCCCATCTTTCCATCATGGAACAGGTTTTCTAACAATGATAAACCTCAGGCTGATCCTGCACCAGAAACTGTTCTAAAAAGGGGCAGGGTTTAATGTAGAGATTTTTGCTGGCAGGAGGAAGAAAGCAAAGAGTGAAATGGAACACACCAGGGGGTATTTAATCACCCTCTGGAACAGGGTCCCAAGGAAGTGCCTGTTGGGGAGGCTTTAAAATTCACATGGAAACTTCACATGTTTTTACCTTCTACAGCTTCAAACCAGGCACTGAAACAGTGAGTTGGGAAAGGAGACTTCCCACCCAAACCAGCACAGGCTGCTCAAACACATGGAGATGTGGCAGAGGTTTGGTCTCTGCCTTCTCAGCTGCTCTTTATCTTTTTAATCTACCTGCTAGGAATACTGGGTGGGGGGTAAAAAAGTGTTGGGGCAAAAGCTGCAGCTGCTCAGTGGTCACAGAGTCCCAGGTTTTCCCATGCACTGGAAGAAGTTTCATTTCTCTGTTTGATGAAACCAAGTTGAATGGCTCATCCTTGAAACCTTCTGTGGGTTCACAGGATAATTATTCAAATAACATGTTTTTTTTTTTAAAATCATTTGACTGCTCCCTGGTTTGGAAATGGATCCTTCCTCTCAAAGGGGAATCATTTCTCCAGCCAAGCACCTGAATCCACACTTCACTTCCCACCTTCCTGTTGATTTTCATGAGACCATCTCAAGTCATCTGCATGTTAATTAAACTGGAGGGGACTGGGGACAGGTTTCTCTAACAGGACTGCCTCTTCCATGACACTTCTGTGCCCAGGTACCTCCCAGATGATGGGAGAAGTCTTGTCATCAAAAGAAACGTGGAAGAAAAAGAAGCCAAACGTGTCCAAGCTGAAGTGGGAGCAGCTAAAGGCTCATGAAACCAAATCCTTCCCTTTGAATCTGGGAGCTACTGGTGCAAAAATGATTTCAGAGCAAAAGGTTCAGGGCTGAATCATTCCCATTTCCCAGGGAATGGACAGACCTTGTTTACTGTAGAGAATAATGAAGAGAGATCCATCATCTCCTTTGAACTCATCATTAAATGAAGAGAAAGGAGAACCCTCCACCAGAAGGAGTTTTGCACCCTCTTCCCAAAACATGTTGAAATGCAAATCACTGGATTAAAATCAGAAGAGACAGGTTTTCATTTGTGCTTTATCTTAAAATGGGTTTGGGTTTTTTTTATTGTGACTGGTCAACTTCACCAAAAATAAAAAGAAAAAAGGCTGCAGAATTTGCAGAGCTAATTAATGAGAGCTAATGGATTGTTGAGAATAAATGCACTCAAAAATTACCTCCCCACTTGGCATGAGAGAGGATGAAACCCTCTAAAATAGGGGGAGCAATTAAATAAATACCCACCTCTGGCACCAGAGGGTTCTAAGGTTGGGGCTTCAAACTTGCCCTAATTTGCAGGCAAAAGTTCTGTTCTTGGGTGATCCATCTCTATAAACCTCCCACCTGAGATCCAAGCTTCAAGACACTTGTGTAACAGGGATTTTTGCCCAATATTCCCATGAGGAGCAGCCTGGTTTGGGCACAACTGCAAAATCTTTCTGGATTCTTCCTACGTTCACTTCTCTAAGGATCCCTGTAACTTCAGCCTCTCCTGCAGCCCCAAACCCTTGTTATTGGAGATGATGATGGCCCAGGATTCACTGCTTAATATCAATATAATATTTTCTATTTTATTTTTCCCTCTCTTGATTTAATCCCTTGCTTATTTGACCACCAGCTCATGGTTTTAACACTGCAAACATTCTTGCTTTAGGGGGTGCTTTTCCTAAAATAGACATTGGAAAAGGGAAAGGAGCACATAAAACATTTCCTGAAGCTCATTTCTTATCCCATTTGGAAATGAAAATAGTCTGTGGCTCAGCCTGGATGTGGAAGGATTTGTCCTAATGCCCAGGCAATATCCAGCTGCTGCTTTTTTACACAGGGCTCTTTTCATCATCTCACCCCTCACTTCTCCTCTCCAAGCCATTTGATATTGAAAATTCAAGTTGTTGGTTTTTTTTCTTTCCCCAAACCTGCAAAGAACTAAATCCTGAACAGCTGCAATGCAACTCTCCCCTACAGTCCCAGTCCAGGGCCAGTTTGGGGCAGGGAGGGAGGAAAATTCAGCTCCATTTTGCTGTACAACCAAGTGGGATTTACCTCTGGGTTATCACAGTTTCCAGGAAGACTGAGATTGGTGTCCCAGCTAGACCAGAAATTCAGATTTCCACCATTTAGTGGAGAAGCAAAGAGAGAAAATGCAGCATTTTCACAAGCTCACAGAAGATCCAAACCCAAGAGGTATTTTCTGCCACCTCCCATGTGCTTCTGCAGGAGAGAAATTACCTTCTCCTGCAGGTTCAGTTCAAGTACAGCTGATCAGAAGCATTTCCATTAGTGAGGCTATAAAAAGCCCCAGAAGTATCTCTTTCCTGTCCATTTGTGGGATTTCTATCAGATCAACAAGCTCAACACTCCATCAAACATTTGCTATTTCACCTGAAAAGGGACCAAGTCAAATCACTTCCATCTCAGTGGATGATGTGCAAAGAGGAGCTACTGGGGGAGGACTGGAGATTCCCTGGAGTGATCCAGAAGAAGTATGAGGAACCTCAAGTTCTCCCTCCCAAAGCAGTGATGAAAAGCTGCAAACCCCCTATAAAACACCAAGGGGAAGAGTTGAGGTTTAGGGGGACTCCAAATGCAAAAGGGAAAGGAAAAAACAAAAGAAGGCAAGTGGCAGATCCAGCCCTGGATGAGGCTGATGACATGACCCAGAAGCACAGCCCTTGCATTATTTATTGATACACTTCATGGCCAAATCCCCTGAATCATCATCTCTGTGTGTCTTTTATGAACCATCTGACAGAGTTGAGCAGCTAATTATAATGCCACTAGAGAGAGAGACATGGAATAGATCAAATAATAGAGGAGATGCCTCCTCATTTTAGCATCAGGTCAGTCAAAGCCCAGAAGGGCTCATATGGTCTCTGGGCAAGATCCAAAACATTCATTTTGAGATCAATATTGTATGAGGAGCAGTGTTAGCTCCTGGACTATCATCTAAATATTCAAACACAGCTGGAGCTTCAGGATGTGGTTGGTTGTGGGGTTGGTGGTGGGACTGGCTGAGGACTGGAGGACACCCCTGCCTGGCACTTCCATACCAGGTACTCTAGAAAAGGAAATACAGAATCATGGAATGGTTTGGGTTGGAAGGGATGTCAAAGATCATCTAGATCCACCCCCCCTGCATGGGCAGGGACACCTCCCACCAGCCCAGGCTGCTCCAAGCCCCATCCACCCTGCCCTTCAACACGGCCAGGGAGGGGGCAGCCACAGCTTCTCTGGGCCACCTGGGCCAGGCTCTCACCACCCTCACACCAAAGAATTTCTTCCTAAATCTCTCCTCTTCCAGTTTTAATCCATCCCCCTTCACCCTCTCCCTCCCTGCCCTTGTCCCAAGCCCCTCCCTAGCTTTCCTGGAGCCCCTTCAGGCACTGGAAGCTGCTCTAAGGTCTCCCTGGAGCCTTCTCTTCTCCAGGCTGAACACCCCAACTCTCCCAGCCTGGCTCCAGAGCATTAGCTACAAGGTGTCTGAAGGGATAAGACATCTGAGTGACATGCAATTAAAAAGGGGACAGCAAAGCAAAGAGGAGGTTGATTGCTTCAAGTGATGAAGAGCCCATTACTTAATGCCCTGTTGCTTTAGCACAAAGGAGAAGTAAAAAGGTCTTGAGTTGAAAAACAATGAAAAATGAATTAATTCTGTCCATCAGGTTAAGGAAAGTGGCTTTTCTTCCAACATGGGGATTTGCTAAGAGCCTTTTAAACCTGAGATGTCCCTGAGTGGGGTATAATCAGTGGACATGAAGGGGATTCTCTCAGGCCTGCAGAGAGCTTGGCCACCCTTTCTCTGTCAGTGGGGGCCAGGGCTGAGTGTCTGTGCAGGGACACGTCAGTCCCCTTCTCCAGGAGGTTTGGTCAACTAGATAAATACATCACAAGCTTGGGGGAAGTCCCAGATGGCTTCAAAATGGCCCTTGGGTGGGGATCTAACCATGGCAGAGGTGCCAGGCTCAGGGGTGGTATCAAACACCCAGAACTGCTGGGGAAATGATGTTTCTTGACATCTCCTTGCCAATGTTTTCTCTCTCTGCTCCCATTTGGAGTGAAAACAAGAGAGATGTGGGTTGTGGAGGACTGGGATTCAGGAGGGGCTACTGGAAGAGGGATCTACTCCTGAGGGATCATCTTGCAGAAGCAGGAGCAGTTCTGCTCACCCCACTGCCCTGAGCCACCAGGAGAAGTGAATGACTGAGGAGACCATTTCCACAAGAACCTGGTGATGGAGACAACATCTGCCTGGCTCATGGCTCTGAGGACAACTGTGTTGAGAGGAGCAAGGGAGACAGAGGGTAAGAAACAACCCTCAGCACCAGAGAGGGGCTGGGAGGAGAGAAAAAGACACCATTCTAAAAAGCCAAAGTCGTGGCTGCAGTAGAACAGTGAACACAACAGCTGGGATGTCACCTATAGCCCAGCACCATCTTGTCACCTCTGTGCCAGAGGCCAGAAAAACCAGGTTTCCAGTTCTTTCTTCCCACTGCTGAATCATTGCCAGAGACTTTCACCTCTTGCTTTTACCCAGCACCTAAGTCCCACATGTTCTCTGTAGGCAACGTTGCATCTGCTTACAGGAGGTTTCTTGCCTGAAAAAAAGGGGCAATTTAATTCTCCAGGATGCCAGGAGAGTTTATGAAGATTTAATTCCATGCCCTAAGTTTCTCTGCTTGATTTACAGAGCAAAATAGTCCTTTGGAGGCAACCAGGCTTGCTCACCAAGTAGAACTGGATCCTCACACAGCAAAAAGCTCCATAAAGATGAATAGACTTGGTTGGTTTTAACAATTCAGCTGCACTAGTTGGCAAAAAAAGCAGCTCTCCAGCCAAGGAGGATTTATCTACTTCTGCCTGCTGTCAGAAAATGGATGACTTGCTGATGGGAGAGCAGGTGCTTCCAGGAAAAGGGCAGGGAGGTTTGGGGAGGTGCAAACCTTGCCCTCCACATATGCTGCCTGGCACCAAAGCACAACAGCAAAAAAACAAAGAGGGAAGCTGAAATCTCAGAGGTTGTTGGAGCCAAACTGGAGATGGTCCAAGCTCAAGGTGTGGGGCCAACAGTTAAGATGAGATACCAGCCTGCAGCCCCACTGGTGTTTCCCTCCTGAACAGCTCTCCTAGTGTTCCAAAGGCAGTAGCTTCCTCTGCCCTGCCCACCAGCAACTAGTTCCTGCAACCCTTTTTTTGGCCACCTTTTGAGAAGGGCAGGGAGTGAGAGGATAAGGGGGGATGGATTAAAACTGAAGGAGGGGAGAGTTGGATTAAACATTAAGAGGAAATTCTTTGGTGTGAGGGTGGGGAGAGCCTGGCCCAGGTTGCCCAGAGAAGCTGTGGCTGCCCCATCCCTGGCAGTGTTGAAGGGCAGGTTGGATGGGGCTTGGAGCAGCCTGGGCTGGTGGGAGGTGTCCCTGCCCATGCAGGGGGGTTGGGACTGGATGATCTTCAAGGTCCCTTCCAACCAAGAGTTAGGTTTGGCACCAGGTCAAGTTCCTGTTGCCTGACAGGAGACTGGAAAAGAAAGCAAGTGATTCATTTTGCATCTCATTTCATTCATTTGTATCCCTCACTTGTTAGCACTGAGGTTAAGCTGTCACCTTGGCCTGGATTTTTATCCCAGATTGTATGACTGAAATGCTGGATTATTAGAATCAAACTGAAGAGCCCCACTTGTTGTGCTGCAAGATGGATTCCCACTTGCAGGTGTATTTCTCCAAGGTATGGGACAATCTTGTCATAGCATCATAGAATGGATTTGGTTGGAAAAGAAGTTTAAGATCACCCAGCCCAACCATCCTCCCAGCCCTGCCCAGGCCACCCCTGCCCCATGTCCCTCAGCACCACATCTACATGGCTTGGAAACCCCTCCAGGGATGGGGACTCCAGCCCTGCCCTGGGCAGCCTGGGCCAGGGCCTGACAACCCTGGCCAGCAAGAAATGCTGCCCAACATCCCATCTCAGCCTCCCCTGGCACCACTGCAGCCCATTTCCTCTTGTCCCATCCCTTGTTCCTGGGGAGCAGAGACCTGCAGTTGCCTCTGTGACCTCCTTGTCCTCCCTTTGCTCATGAACGGAAAAGCAAGCGGCTCAACGAGCAGAACCATCATCTCAACCCCACCCTCCCCCAGGTCCCTCTCACCTGTTTGAGCCAGAAGTGGGGTGTAAGGGACTTTGGGTTCTATTGCACTCATGGGTGGAGGTAGCAGGGGGTTGGCGAAGCTGCGGAGAGGGTGGGTGGGGCGGACACAGGCGGTGGGGATGGTCCTGCTGGGGGCGTCCTCGCTGCCGGGGTGCTCGGGCTGGCTGGGGGGCAGCAGGGAGGGCTGCTGGGCTGCTGGCCCTTCTGTGGCAGCTGCAAGAGAAGAGAACAGAAGAAGAGAGTCAGCCCTAGTTCATGACATGGTTTGGTTTCTTTATGCCCCCGTTTCCTGCTGTTTTGGGTGGTTGCAACAGAAGGGGGGGGAGATGATCCCACCAAGGAGCTGCAGGAAATGTCCCAACGGGTGTTGGCAGATCCATTCAAAGCCCAGGTGTTCCTCAGCATCATTATCTCCTAAAAAAGACACCCAACCCAACAAACCAAGACCCAAGCATGAGGTTTTCATCTCCTTCCCTCTCCGTGCGTGGAAATATTAACAACCAACATGAAGACACCACGTGGAGACTGGAGGAACCTGTGGAGGTGGAAACTCCTCATGGGGCTGCTCCAGTCCTAGTGGAGAAAAGCTGGGGACAAAGAAAGGGCTTCATTAATTGTCACAGAACCAAACACCAACGTTGGCTTCCCGTGAGGCAGCTGTCACACCTAGTGTGCCCAAGCCTTATGTTCAGAGTCCATTCTGCAGAGATTGAGAAGTTCCACAGCAACCACCTCACACCCAAGGCAGGTTCCCTCTGTCCGTGGTGCTCCTTAAAGGCACCTTCAGTCTTGACTTCTGTCATGGGCTTCCCATGCCAGAAAACAGAAGCAAAATTAGCATTAAGGAAAACCAAAGTTGAGACAAAGAGAAAAGCCCCTTAATTTCTACAGCCCTCTAGAAAGCCAAGTTGGACCCAAACTATAAATTGCACAGGAGTTTCCAGGATGGATAGACCCAGATTTAGGGCACTGCTCTCCACACCTAACACTGACTCTTTGGTCATGAAGAGAAACTCAGTGCTGCTGTTTCCAGGAGGACACATTCTGAATTATGTACCACGTTATTCAGACTCCCAGAAGTTTAAGGAGACAATCAAAGACAGACTAATAGAATCATTGAATCGTTCTGGTTGGAAAAGACCTTGAAGATCATCCAGTCCAACTGTTTCCCCAGCCCTGCCCAGGCCACCCCTGCCCCATGTCCCTCAGCACCACATCTCCAGGGCTTGGAAACCCCTCCAGGGATGGGGACTCCAGCCCTGGGCAGCAACCTGAAAATGTTAAAGATTTCCAAAGGGAAGAGGTTCTTTTGTTCTTGTAGGAGAACTTCACTAGAATAAACAACGATCTTCAGTCTTTAAAACCTCTGAAACCTCCTCCTGGCCTACCAGGCCAAGCAGAACTAGTTAGGAGTGAATGACAAGGAGGACTGATCCGTGAGACTCTGCTGTGGTGCTTTGGGGGTGGCAGCAACAAGTTCCTTCCCCTGTGCCCCAGGGAAGAGCCTGGCACTGCTGTCTTCTTGGAAACACCACCTCTTAGCTCCTGTTCCAACTCCTGCCCCACAAGTGCCGTTGAGGTTTCCCCAGAGCTTGGGCACGTGGCTTCTTCTGGCCCCTCTCCCAGCTCCTGCAGCACTGGGGGATGTTCTCCTCTTGGTGGGAGTGACATTTTTGGCCAGCAGAGCAGTGGGAGGGAGCAACCCAGCTCTTGAAGAGCCTGCTCCCAACAAGAACGTGTCTAAGCTGAGCTTGCCCAGTGTCTCCACGTTCTCTGGGCCAGCCAGGATGGCTCACAGCACAACAGTTCATCATGCAGGAACCAGACAGCTGGGAAAAGCTCCACCTTTTCCTGAAGAAAACCTTCCTGAGCCCATAGCTCCTGGAATGAGTTCTTGCACTGGGAGCCAGAATGCTCCAGAGGATCTGGTTGCTTTCAGAGCTGCAGCAACCAGAGCTCATTGTGCAAAGAACATGCAATTAACACAGCCAAGGCAATAATCTCCAGGCAGTTGATAATCATTCATGGCAAAGCAGAGAAGGAATTACAACCTATTAAGAAGCAAAACAATGCTGAAAGAAAATGGAGAGGAGGAATTCTCCTTGTCTCCACAGCCCCACTGCTGGTTTCTGTGGCAACACCCCAGACATCCCCAACTGTGCCCAAGGCTGCAGAGAGGAGCCCAACCCCAGGATCAGACCAAGGTCAAACCCATTTACAGTTGGCATAAGTTTGCTCCTCTGTGGCTCATTTGCCTTGCTTTCATCTTCAAGGCTCTTTGCATCATCATGTCATTCCCCTGGGTCTGCTCTTCCAGTTCCTTCCTTGCCCAGCAGACCCTCTCTCTTCTGCTCTGAACACTAAACCTCTGTGAGGAGACCCAGAGCTGTTGAGGTTGTTTGGAACAGGGGAGAGAGCAGCAATGATGGTTTATCATTCCACCCTTCCTCACTGCCCACACCTTCCAGAAGGTGTCAGAGCCTCTGGCTGCTCTAGGCCACCATGGGCATTGGGATCTTCTCTCCCTTCACCTGTCCTGGTCAAAAGAAGACACCCAGCAGTGGGTGAGTCTCACAGAGGTTCACATATGAAGTTAGGATGCTTTCTGGAGCAAAATCTTGCTGAGACCTTTGCTTGAAGTACAACTAAAGCCTCTTCTCTGTGCTCTTAGTCTTTCAACTTGTTGGTCAAACCTCAACTTCCTACGGAGCCCATCTGCTTGTCTTCCTGTCCTTAAGGCCAGTTCTTTTGGGCTGCTCTTCACCTGCTTGGAGAAACAAGTGAACCAGACACTGCTACTCACCATCCAGAACCTTCTTGGTGTCTCCTGCAGTGGTGCCCTCAGATAACAAAGATTTATCAGCAGAACCATCTCTGCATGAAAGGCCTTTGTGTGAAATCCCAGTCGCCAAATGTGCCGCTACCAGCCTGGATTTACCCTGGCCTCGCCTAGAACTTCCACACCCCAGGGATAAACCCAACTGCTCTCCAAGCAATTTGACAGCAAAGAGGAGGAGAAAAGCATTGTACTGACTTCGTCCTGCTCCAAAGGTCCTGTCCACAGAGAGGGTCGGGAAGGGCACCGGGCGCAGGGTGAACTGCGGGTGCGGGTACCCGCAGGTGGGCGACGGCAGGATCCCGGGGTACTGGGCGCTCTCCAGGGTTGGCACTGGGATGGCACTGACCACAGCTGCAAGGGGAGAAAGAGAGAGAGCTTAGGGGAGCCCTTCTGGAAGGTAAGAATGATAAAAAAGGTCTCAGAGGGTCAGAAGGGAACGGGATGATCCGGAGGGTCCCTTCCAACCCAAACCGCTCTGGGCGTCTGTGAAGCAGGAACGGCCCCGTTGCCAAAGCCAAGTACCCAAGTGCTCTGTACCAAGGTGCCTCTGCCCACAGAAGCCACCTCTGCACCCAGAACTATGCCCCTTGGAGTGCAGCCTGCTGTCAGTAACGTTAAATAGCTTTTTGTCTCTGTTCCAGCTCTTCAGCTGCATTTTTTGGGGAGTACTTTGCATCCCTTGGCACGTAAGTGGGAAGGAAAGGATCTGGCAAATTGCAGGTCTTGTTTCAGGCCCCTGGTGCCATTTCTGATGCCTTAGGAGATCCTGCTGACCTCAGCCACTGCTCTGGAGGAGTGTGAGCTCCTCTGGCTCTCCCATCGTGTCTGCTGGCTTCATATCCACGTCCCCAGCACCCTTGGATGTCCCCAGTGACACAGGACTCGTGTTCACCCCCTGACCAAGGCTGTCTGGGCATCACATTCCCCACTCAGGGATGTCCAAGGCTGTGAAGAAGAGGGCTGAGCTGTACCAGCAAACCAGCAGCTCCAGGTAGGAAGCTGAAGTTGAGTTCTTGAGCTGAACTGAAGGGAAACACTTTGATTTGACAGCCAGGTGCTAAATTCAGGCTTTCCTGTGAGTTGTCTCCTTTATTTTCAACAGGAGGGGTGACAATAATGCCCTACAACCCCTAAATTCCTCTGTAGCTTTTAGGAATGAGCTTGGAAGCTCCTGGTCAAGTTTTTCCCAGTGCAACAAAAAGCTCTGATGATAAACTTTGGCTTATCAAGCACCTTTCACACAGGAATTCTAACCAGTGCTGTAAACCTCCAGGTGGTGGTTGTGACTCCTTGGAGCTCCTGCTAGGTCCATCCCCCAGCACAACGACTTGGGCCACCTGCCCAAGGTCACACAAGCAGCTCTGAGGGTGCTGAGGGTATTTTGAAGCCAAAGCTCCACTGCTTTGGTGATGGAGAGGCAGGAAAACTCCTGAAGAAATGCTAAGCTGGGTGATTGGAGCTTCAGAGCTGCCTGAGTTCAATTCACTCCCTACTCAGGAGAGATTTTCTACCATTCAGACAGTTGATTTAGTCTGTGGAAGGCATTTTTATGGACAATATTTATAACATTGCTGCTGCAGTGAAGAATATCACTCTTTATTGAATCCTATTAAAGAACAACTTGTTTTTCAAAGCCCATCCCTTCATTTCTTGCTTAGGGTGTAGGTCCCAAGCACTTTCAGTTTTGAAATAAGACAGGATTGCTATTCATTGTAGAGACACTGGAGAGAAGGTACCAGGAACCACTTTCAATCTATCTCTGCAATTTCAAGCAGATATGACAATAAATCTGGCCTGTCACAGCCTGTCAGCACTGGAATTGGCACTTAATATGGACACACTAAGACTCTGAAAGCAGAAATTCCCTGGCCAAATCATGGAGCTCCCTAAACACCACTCAACGTTTCAAATGGGCTTCATCAGGTGGGAGAAAGAGCCTGAGAACAGCCCTCCCAAAAAGGACAAAGCAGGGGAATTACAAGCACAATACCTGAATGTGACACCCTGCAAAGCCTTTCCCAGTTCTTTTTCCTCAGGAAACACTCCTCTCCAGCCACCAGCCTGGCTCTTTGTGCCTGCCTGTATCTCAGCAGCATTAAAGCTGGCAAATGCATCCCTAAAACCTTCTCCAAATGCAGCACTAAAACCTTCTTACATTCATCTGCTTTATGCTCCTTCCACTTCAGTAAGCAAAAGGCATTTTATGGAGTATGTTTATCCTCAAAGACTGCAAACAGTGATTATTGGGATGAGGGTGGGCACTTCCAGATTTAGGATTTAACAATTAATAGTCTGTTGGGGTTGGTTTTATTTTACCTTCAGCATTGGGATGTGGCTTCTTTGATTTATTTCCTCTCTCACTGCTGACAATTTCTTTCAGCAGCAGGAAAATGGTGAGAAATTAATTACAGCATCTGAGCTGACAAAGCCACAATTTTATCTTCTGGGGGAGAAAAAACAAACCCCACAACAACCCCAACATATTCAGCCTCAGCCTGCACAAAATAAGACTTCTCTAAATCTGCATTTAAATATTTGTAAACAATAATAATGCAGTGGCAGATTGGATTGATGCTGTTGAAAATAGAAATAAATGGGAAAAAAGGACATCCTTCCTCAAAATGCATCATTTGCCTGAAAAAATGAATATGTTCAAGAGCATTTTATGAGCTGTAGAACAAGGTTGACTTGGCTTTTATTTAACTAACAGGGTTATTGAGCCATTGTCATGACAACTGATTTGGTTCTGGTTTTATTTACACCACTCCAAGACTATCCACTTCCTTGGAGTGCTGCCCTCCTTC